CCAAAGGCTGCTAAATGAAGATAACCTAGAAGCAAGGAAACCTTAAACCTTATTCCACCATTGCACAAGAACCTTAGTATATGTTAGCTGGTGGAAAGTCAGTGTAACATAGTAGCTTGGTGTTAGAAATTCTGTTTATATAAAGCAGCACATAGATCAAACAATACGGTCACCATGTGCTTTACTGCTCAACTATTTTACTGTAACAGGAAACAGGAAACTCTGTTTAGAACAAAAGAACATAAAGCATATATACCATCAATCCAAACATGTAAATACTGCCATCTACTGGCTAAATACTACTGTAATTGTTGCATAAAAATACATTCCAACAATGAATTCCAGCACTTGAGTATTAGACTTGGACAACAAATAAATTCAAGTCCACACTTCAGGGGTGAAATTCAACCACCTTGCAGCACCTCGGGAGAGGTGCTAGGGACAATTTGAATCGGTTCAAAGAGGTGGCACGGACGATTTGCATTGGTTGGCCCCGCCCACACCTGCCCACCTTCTTCCTTTTAGAGGTTGAGTCCCACCAAGCCACGCCCACCAAGCCACGCCCACAGAGCCAGTAGGGAAAAATTTTGAATTTACCCCTGCCACACTTGTTCACACTTGTTTAGTGGGTATTACCAAGCCACATCTGTCTTATAGGATATTGTATATCTCTCTCTCATAGTCATAAAAATGAAGGACAATGGTGTGTAAAAGTGCATGGAGGAAACTGAATGGATGAATGAATAAATGAGTAAATAAATTTCATGGAAATTTCCAAAAGTAATGTCTTGCAATGACATAGTAGAATGTTATTTTGACCATCATCAATGATAAAATGATGGGAATATATGCTACAGTCAGTTACCAAATGTGTATTTAAAATATATTAAATTAAGAAAAGATCCTTTGACAGAAAACTACAATACTTCCTCCAAGTGCACTAGAATAGCCCCTTATTCTTCACAACAACTCCACAAATTTCAACAACATTCTTTAAATAATATACATGAATATTGTGGATATTCAAGAATTCTGCTTAGTCTGCATTTCAAAGTGAACTTTGAATCTCAAGAAAGTTAGATTAGTTTTGTAAGGCAATTCTTAGCTTGGAGAAATAACAACATTCAAATAAAAATGTGAACTTCAACTGTTAGTGGCATTTGGAATGAACTTTCAGTTTGTCCAGTCTTTTGTATATCCAACAAATCAACTTGGAAGAGGGTGTAACCTCTTAGTACATGATTTTAAGACCCATGGGGACAATTATCAAAAGGAGAAGCTGCCAAGTGATTTATCGTTTTCTTTCATTGTTTTATTTAAATCCCACCATGTCTTCAAAAGTTCATAGGACTTTTCCTTCATTTTATTTTCAAACAGCCTTGGAAAAAAATGATTAGGGCTAAGAGAGTAACCAACCCAAAAATCACTCAGTGAATTCCCACGGAAGAGGGTGAATTTAAATCTGCGTTTACCCTGTCTGACTTCTTAAACCACTGCTTCATATTGATTCATAAATGTAAACCAACTTTAGATGGTGCATAAAGCTGGAAAGATTGATGTAGCAGTATGTGATTAGGCTTAAATAAATTAAAAACATATTCTATATTGTTAGATGTCAGATGGAAAGCACATAGAGCAAACAGTGAAGAGGGCACCAAATAATTAAATGCAAATTTCTTTCTAATGTCTGAAAGGCTAAAGGTTCCCCATGTGCTAGTCGTTTCTGGCTCTAGGGGACAGTTCTTCTCTCCATTACAAAGCCGAAGAGCCAGCACTGTCCAAAGACGTCTCCATGGTCATGTGGCTGGCATGACTAAACACCAAAGATGCATGGAACGCTGTTCCCTTCCCCCCCAAAGCGGTCCCTATTTTTCTACTTGCATTTTTACATGCTTTCGAACTGCTAGGTCGGCAGAAGCTGGGACAAGGAACGGGAGCTCACTCCGTTACGTGGCGCTAGGGATTCGAACCGCCGAACTGCCGACCTTTCTGATTGACAAGCTCAGCGTCTTAGCCACTGAGCCTTCGTCTGAAAGGTTAGAGAAGTCCTATTCTTTCAAAGTTTCAAAAGTACTTTTAATGTTCGAGTCCATTTGGCGTACAGGTAAGTCCTCAACTTACGACGATAATTGAGCCCAAAGTTTCTGTTGTTAAGCGAGATATCCCTAAAGTGAGTTTTGCCCCATTTTATAACCTTTCTTGGCACAGTTGTTAAGTGAATCACTGCCATAGTTAAGTTAGTAATATGGTTGGTCAAGGGAATCTTGCTGCCCCATTGACTTTGCTTGTCAGAAGGTCCCAAAAGGGGATCACGTGATCCCAGGACAGTGTGACTATCATAAATAGGGGTCAATTGCCAAGTATCTGAAGCAGAGGTGGGTATTCAGCAGGTTCTGACTGGTTCTGGAGAACCGGAAGTGGACATTTTGAGCAGTTCAGAGAACTGGTAAATGCCACCTCTGACTGGCCCCGCCCCCATCTCTTCTCTGCTTCCTGAGTCCCAGCTGATTGGGTGGTTGCCCTGCACAGGAGAACGGAGCTGGAAAGCAGGTTAGTGGGGTGGGGAGGGAATGGAGATTTTGCAGTATCCTTCCCCTGCCATGCCCACCAAGCCACGCCTACAGAACCGGTATTAAAATTTTTGAATCCCACCACACACACACACACACACACACACACACACACAAATCCAGTTTTAGCAATATAGTACTAACAGCCTACTAGTCCAATACAACATTCCCTGGATCTTGCTTCATATATAAAATAGTACTGTATAATGTATTTACAAACTTAAACATTCTCAACTCATAATTAAATCAGAAGTAATTTTCATACATGGACATAAGTAATTGATCCCCAATATTTGATCTACATGGCATAACTACTTCCTTCTCCTGATTTTTTATTTTTGCTTTTTGAAAAGCTGCATTTTGCACATTTATAGTGTACTGAGTTGCACATAAGCAGCACAGAATGTTTCCTGGCTTACAAAATTTAACAAAAATGTGGCCATTTAGAAACAGGTCTACTGCATCAGAAGTGCTATTTAGCAGGTTTTGACCCGTTCTGGAGAACTGGTAGTGGAAATTTTGAGTAGTTCGGAGAACTGGCAAATCCTACCTCTGACTGACCCCGCCCCCATCTATTCTCTGCCTTTCATGTCCCAACTGATCGGCTGGGTCTTCTTTGGTTGCCCTGCACAGGAGAACGGAGCTGGAAAGCAGGTTAGTGGGGTGGGGAGGGAATGGGGATTTTGCAATAACCTTCCCCTGCCACGCCCACAAAGCCACACCCACAAAGCCACACCACGCCCACCAAACCAAACCAAACCACACCCACCAAACCAAACCACGCCCACCAAGTCACGCCCACAGAACCGGTAGTAAAAATTTTCGAATCCCACCACTGTACTGCATCCAAGATGCTCCCCTGCCGGGGCTCTTACTTCTAGGTTGCTGGCTTATATAAAGATTGGTGGAGTTGGTTCTTGGTGGGATGTCCTCAAAGTTGGCATTGAAAGCAGGATTAATTAGCCCTGGTTCATCTGTCATTAAGGCAATTGTGGCGGCAGCAGAGAAATCGGATTCACAAGCCGACACTGTTAAAGCAGCATTCACATCTGGAGATCCCGCTGGGGGGCATCTCTTCCTCTCCTTGGTGAAGCCATAATGAGATGCCCCTTTGCACCTAAGGAAAATGAAAGACAACAGAACTTAAAACAAAAACTACTCACATGAACGGAGACAAGTAACTTCTTTAACAAAGTCAACATGTTTGGGGGGAAAATGGCACTGAATGAGCTTCCCATTTTTTATTTTCAGCACCGTCCCCAAATGAAGAAGCATTAAGAGGTATTAGCCGATTACACACAGTTTTATTTTTTAAAACTACGAATACAAATGAAGTAGATAGAGGCCATCTAGAGAAGTGGTCGCCAACCAGTGGGCCGGGGACTACTGGTGGTCCATGAGAAAATTTGGGTGGTCCGCAGAGAAATGTCACCCCCAAAGGAATTAATCCAGGCTACGCGGGAACACAAGGCTGTGCTGCCCACATGGCCCATGGGAACATAAGGCTTGCGTCCCTTGCATTGTGAACAACATGAAGTAGTGAGGGGAGGGTGGAAAGGGCGGAGGGGGGGGGAACTTGCCCCACTTGTCCCACGCACCTCGCCTGGCCACTGGGCTGCTTCTTTCCACTTCTTTCTTCTTCTGCTTTTGGCTGCAAGCAAGGAAAGCAGCAAAAGTCTTTCTTTCTCTCCCCTAAACTCTAGAAATGAGTCTTTGGGACTCTGCAAGGCATCCTGCTCCAAGAGGCTGCACCGTTCTGGCGCAGTTTGGGGGAGAGAAAGAAAGACTTCTGCTGCTTCTGCTGCTTTCCTTGCATGAAGCCAAAAGTCTCTCTCTCTCTCTCTGTGTGTGTGTGTTTCTCCCCCTGAGAACGGAGCTGGAGACGGTATCCTGCAATCCCAAATAAAGAATGACCGATCGGTAAGAAACGGGGGGGGGGATTTTTCTGCAGACTTTTTGGGGGGATTTTCCCAGGGTCCCAGGTCTGCGGGATTTAAAATTGTGAGTTTGGTGGTCCCTGAGATCCAAAAGGTTGGCGAGCCCTGATCTAGAGAGAAGGTCTGAGGATAGACTTGCAAAACAAATATATGAAGGAAGGAAGAACGAATGGGCCAAGAAGAAAAGGAAGGCTCAAGTTGAGCTTGAATGGAGTTTCCAAGATCTTGGAAAAAGTTTGAAGAACAAAAGGCAAATTATGAAGCAACAGTGCATGAATGGAGCAATGATAGTTTGCAAGGAGGGTGAAATATGAAGAACAGGAAATGGCAGTCTGAATTAAAATCTAGTCATATTTCCTTTCTTTTTCTCTTTTGTCCCTCGCTTCCCTTGTTTTTCTTTCTTCCTTTTTCACTCTTTTCTCCGCCCTTTGAGCAAGTGCTGACTCTGCCAGGGAGTTGTGTGATGGACAGGCAAGTATGTTTATTATAACTGGCAACGCTTGAGGGCCGGGGCATCTTTTCCTAGGTTTTCGCAGGAGCGGAAGAGCAGGGGAAGGTCCCCTCCAGTAAGGAGGGCTTAACATGATTAATTCACACCGAAATCCTCCTTTTCCTAAGGAGATCGAGTTGGGGAACACAGGCCCAATTGTAGCAGGAGTTTCGCTGGATCGGAAACAGAAAGACACTAAGCTAGCCTGGCAGGTGACTGACCCAAACAACGGAGAGGGTTATAATCGTTTTTTTTGTCTCTGGCTAATGAAAGAGGGCAATGTGTTTGGCTAGAAAGCTTGATTGCGTCAGCTGATGTTTGAGGAAAGAATAAAGCTACTCATATTGGCGGCTGCCATGTCCCCCCCCCCATGCTAAATGGGGACTGTCATAGCAGCCGTGACTTCACCAGGGGCCTAACAGCTGCCCGCCAGATTTGGGATTCCCAGTGTTTTTCCCCCCAAAAAGACTGTTCCAGAAACAATTAGAAATAAACCTGTTTGCTTTGCAGAATTCAAATGCAGATTTAGTCTAGCTAACAAAAGGGCCTTCATGTGGGCCCCCTTCCCCCACCCCAGAAGTCAAGTGATTATTTTTCTGTCTCTTAGTTATTTCAACTTTTCAAATCACCGGTTTTGTTCTTCGCGAGGCTTCTGTGTCTATTGGAAGCTGCAAAATATATGCAATCATGATTGCTTTTAGAACACGCTTTCCTTTCTGGTGATTCAAGTGTAAGAGTTGCATTTGGGGGGGTAGAGGGGCTGACTTAAGCCACCCACCCAAATTCTTCTTTCCCCCAAGGGATTCTTGAATCAATCCTGAACCCAATTTTAGGGCAGTTGGTTTGCACACTCGCCCATTAATATATTCAACTTTCAATATAAATATTCTTGGGATGTACACATGGTAGATATTTAAGCAGCAATTGCACAGAAATAGAAAAATAATAAGATCACCTTATTAATTTATTGCAGACAAACTGTCTGCAATAAAATTGCCCTGTAGGCACTACGAACATCTGATGGGCTTCCTCTGTTATGATCTCAAGGACTTGCAAAGTTGATAAGGAATTTTGTGGATGCTAACTGGCCCTCAAGCTTGGAAGGAGTTTAAAGCACTAGCAATTTTTAACTGGACCCCAAAGTAAACCCATTGCCACTAAATCAAAGGTGGTATTCAGCAGGTTCTGACCAGTTCTGGAGAACCAGTAGCGGAAATTTTGAGTAGTTCAGAGAACTGGCAAATGCCACCTTTGACTGGTGATTGTACAGTCTCCTTCCTCTGCCACGCCCACCAAGCCAGGCCTACAGAACCGGTAGTAAAGAAATTTGAATCCCACGACTGCACTAAATCTCTCTATAGAAAAGCGAAATACCTCTCACGCATCGTCACAAGATCTCCAGTACTGTAAAGCCTACAAACTTGAAATTTGGCACGTATGTTCCTCTTTGGCTCCTAGGTGCTCACTAAGAAAGGATTTTTCAAAATGACCATCAGAGCATTTAGAGTATTTCGTATATTATTAACACGCTCTGATGCTAAGGAGTTCTTCTCCCCTCCCCACCTGAAAAGAAATCTCTTCCAAATGCAAAACACAAGCAGAGGGGAGGAGTCTCAGTTTCAGTTTCACAACAGCAACCAGTTTTAGTACAGAACAGTTGAGCTAAGCCACGCCCAGGCTCCTTGCTGTCTCCTTGCTCACACAGCAAATACTGTTTCAGTTTCCAAACAGCCCTCAACTCTCTCAAACACTGACAGGACGCAGATGAATACTGATGGATGCTGGTAGGAAGAGACAGAATTTCCCCCCTTTTTTTCCTCCCCAAAAACTAAGCCTCACCACACAGTTTTGAGCTAGTATATTTAATAAAATAAGTTTCCACTGAAAGGTCCTAGACAAGATGCTAATAGCCTTGTTTGGAACTCTGCAACATTTCTACCCGCATTCAACAGTAGTAGTGCAGATTTGGGAGAAATGAATTTGTTGCAGAGTTATCTCTATAGATTCTCAAGGAAACTCCTTGGAGGGTTATCAAGATATGATGAGACTATGATCACTTCCCCCTAGCTGTGGGCAAATGCAAGTTACATGGCTCCAAGGCAGAACAGAAAACAGAAGGTACCCTTATATTTACCCTGACCGAAGTTGAACAGGGGTAATTAAATTCTGAGAGCCACATAAAAGAGATTACTTAGGCAGGAAAAAAAATTAAATCCAGACTGCAGGATAGATAATCTCTCTTCTATCAAGGATGGGAATACACTCAGATGGAGCAAATTCTTACACCTTCTGAACAAGGTAATAACATAAAACCCCACCGTTTTACTTCACATTATAATATTTACTGGCCATTTCTATAACAACAAACCTATCTAATCAGCAAAACCCCAAAATCAGTTTCATTTTTTTCCACCTCTAAGTCCAAAAGCGGTTTCCAAGTAAAAATTAAATTTTTAAAAAAAATTAATTACTTTTTTTTAAAAATCAAAGCAACTATCTCTGCTAACCCCGTCAACTTTTGCAGTCATTCATCTACTATGGGAATCACAATGTCTTTCCATTTTTATGCATGAAGTAATGTTGCTGCTATCAACATATATAACATAAACCAGCAGGATTTTTTCTGTTGAAGGTTTAATATCCCTGATAGGGCTTTCCTCACCTCTCATTTACAAGGCAATCTTCCTTAACCTGATGCCAGTGGTGGTATTCATTTTTTTAATTACGGGTTCTGTGGACGTGGCTTGGTGGGCGTGGTGTGGCTTGGTGGGTGTGGCAGGAGAAGGATACTGCAAAATCTCCATTCCCTCCTCACCCCACTAACCTGCTTTACAGCTCCGTTCTCCTGTACAGGGCAACAAAAGAAAACCCAGCTGATCAACTGGGACTCAGGAGGCAGAGAAGAGATGGGGGAGGGGCCAGTCAGAGATGGTATTTGCCAGTTCTCCGAACTACTGAAAATTTCCACTACCAGTTCTCCAGAACTGATCAGAACCTGCTGAATACCACCTCTGTTTCACATGCCTGCGTCCCATGGATGGGGCTACATTTGTTTGCACGGCCCGGTTTCTCGCATACTACAGCCTGGTACCGGTCCACGGACCGGAGGTTGTGAGTTGGGGGGGGGGGCTTGATTTAGAGAATACCAATTTGAATTAACTCTACTATTCATATTGTCACCACAGTGTGCATAAGATACTGAGAATTGAAAACTGGCATGGATATGAGATTCTTTATTTTTGTTGTGGCCCACCGACAGCTGGCGGAGCCAATAGCAGAGTTGGAGGAGGTTGGGGAGGGACCCAGGCCATTCTTGGAGGCTGAGGAAAGCTCAGAGGAGGGCTCTGCATCAGAGGCAGAGATGGGGCCAGGGCAGGCTGGCAATTGCCTTTCGGCTCAGATAGCAGTGAGGCGGGGAAGCTTCTGGAACCGGTTCCCAGCCTGCGCATACGCACAGCTGCCAAAAGGAAGGCACAATTAAGAACTCAGGGAGATCAAGGCCACAGGTGGATGATAAATGGCCCCTCCCTTCAGGATTAAAAGAGAAACAAAAGGGGAGGGGGCTTTTGCAGGAAACAACTTGCTCGTTCGTTTGTCCGTTCGTTCCACCCTCGTGAAGATTTGTCTGTATAACCCAGCCCTTCCCTGTCAGCACTGAGTGTGGAACTACTTACTGGGCAGCGTTCCAGG